CTTCGTCCCATGGCCGGAGACGAAGAAATCTTCGTCTTCGGCCGTGGAGACGAAGAACCTAGCCGGAGACGAAGAGATGAAGAATTAATAATTAATTTTTAAAATTTTTTTTTAAAATAATTAATTTGGGAGGATGACCTGTTAACTTGTTGGAAACCTACAAATTGGAAGATTTGTTTGAAATTGGTTAGTTTAGGGACCCGATTGTTGATTTTTTAGGTTCAGTGGCCTAATTGTATTATCTTGTGCAGTTCGATGGCATATTTGACCCTTATTCATAATAATAATAATAATAATAATAATGTTTTTTCATTACCTTTTTAGTTCCAAATCATATCATCTAAACATACAATACATATACTTATAAATTCAACCTCAAAGAAGGGCAAATTATATCCTGTACCGAACTTCAAAACGACGTCGTTTTGTTTACTGAAAAGAAACGTCACTCGTTTCGTGTCATTTCGCAAAAAGTAACTCTGTTATTCAGTTTCATTTTGTATACAATGCAGTTTCAGTTCAACATAACTACAGTGCCATTTCGATATAACTACAATTTCATTTGATATTTATACTCTCAAATATGTGAAAATGTTATTTAATTTTACTAGTATTTGCACCCGTGCGATGCACGGAATGTATTCGTTATAATATATGAATTATAATTTGCTTCATATTCGATAGTGTAAATTTTAACGTTGAATTAAGGTTTGTATGAGTGTTTCGGAATTGAATTAATTGGTCTCATTATCTTTATGTGTAGTAATTTAGCTATAGAAATTTTTTTACGGAATATATACGTAATATGTGGATATATAACAATTTTGTTATATTGGTGCAAGAAGAATACATAATATAACTGTTTTGAATTACACTTTGTTGAAAACCTCTATGTAGACGACATTAGTAGTAGTAACAGGAGTTTGTCCATCCTCGTCTAGAGCTAAAACCTTAAGGCAATCAGGATGATCGAGTGACTCGGGAAAAAGCCACGTACAATTGATCGTGATTAAAGACTGATTTTTTCAACAATAAGCGAACGTGAGTTAGTGTTTGACCCTGGCTTTTGTTGATAGTCATTGCATATGCTAGCATCAACGGGAATTGTTTACGCTATAACTTGAACTGCAATCTCTTATCAGAAGGGGTGAGAGGCATTCGTGGTATAAGAACTTTGTTACCTTGTTGCGTTCCATTAACTATTCTTGCTTCGACAATATGATCCGCCAATCTTATAACGATGAGGCGAGTATTGTTGCAAAGACCAAGAGAGTGGTCTATGTTCCGCAATAACATAACATGTGCACCAACCTTTATTGTCAATGAATGATTAGGAAGTCCAGACAATCAACCTTTAGTTTCATTAAAACACAACTACATGATCATTTCGATATAACTACAGCTTCATTGCATAATATACACTCAAATATGTAGTTTCATTTTATATACACTGCAGTTTCATTTCACCACAACTATAGTATCATTTTTATATAACTGCAGTTTCATTTGATAATATATAAAATAAAACGTGAGGCAGTGTCGGTTTAGATACACTGTAGTGTCAATTTAGATACATTGTAGTTTCAGTTGGTAATTAACACACCAAAAATGCGCGCTCCGTTAACAGTAACGGCGCAACGTTTCTTTACTTAAAGAAACGGCGCTGTTTTGACCGCGGTCCATAGTATAATGACCCTCAAACAAGTTGGTTAAACAATGAAGTATTCCACGTCTAAGATTTAAGTTTGTCACTGCAAATTTTTGGTTAAGAATAGACAACTGTTCTTTCAACAACAGTGGCTAAATATCAGTCTCCTATGTTCAGTTTTGGACTAATGTCTATGAGAACTGGATATTCACTTTCTTAATTTAAGTTGATTATGGTAGTCATTGCGAGCTTTTTCTCATAAATTAAAATGTATACTAATGTGATAAATTTTTTCTTGAAAAATAGAAAAAAATGGATAAAAAAAAAGTTTTGGATAATGGGTGCGGCTAATAAACATATTTTCTAAGTGAATTTTTTTTTTTAGAAAAATTAAAATAATGCAACTTATAATTAATAGTTTATATTTTTGGAATATACGCACACAATATCAAATGAGAAAATGATTATCTTGTAAAAAGTGAGGATCGATATTAGGGTTCATCGACGGCTGAAAATTTTAGTAAAAAAAGAACGGTGTCAATTTTATAATTATTGAAAACTTTTAAATTTTTAATATTTTAAAAAAGAACTTCACATTTTTCACTTTATTTTCAGCAACATTCAACTATTGATCTACTCATATGAATAAATTAGACTAGTCCTCACTTCTTTTTTTATATGAAAGTGTGTCTCACTTAAACTCTTTTCTATATATATATATATGTGTGTGTGTGTGTGAGAAAGAGAGATTCACCATGCAATTTGATTTTAACATGTAGTTATTGAATATGTGACATCAATCTTGTTTTAGATAGTTGTACCTACACGAGAACATCAATAACACAATTTTTAAATTACAAATTGTTTCAAATGGTCACGAAAAAGGGTACATTGATCAATTTTATAATCATTAAAAACTTTTAAGTTTTTAATATTTTTAAAAAGAATTTCACCTTTTTCACTTTATTTTTCGCAATATTCGACTATTGATCTACTGATCATATGAATAGATTAGATCAACCCTCACTTTTTACATGAAAGTGTATTTTCACCCAAACCCTTCCCTATATATGTGAGCGTGAGATGTTCGACATACAATTTGATTTATACATGTAGTTATTGAATGTGACATAATCAATCTTGTTTTAGATAGTTGTACCTACATGAGAACATCAATAACACAAGAATTTTTAAATTACAAATTGTTTTAAATGATCAAGAGTTGATTGTATTGGATTTTGCCTATTGAAATATCTTTTTGACACATAAAACATACAAAAACATACAAATATAAGATGTTCACACAATCAATGGATTCATATACAAACTCAATTTTATGAATATTAACTTTAATTTGTCAATTTTTTCTATTGTTTATTACTTTTCAAGATGTGCTTATAAATGTTAAAAATATCATCCATCTTACTTCATGGATGTTACTTCAAATATATAATATAACTAAATATAATAAAATGCTATTTTTATCACATGTGACAAAACTGACTTATTCGACCCTACATTTAAAATAAATCCTAATATTGTTAATAAACACTTTAAGTTGCTGGCCGCTGTTAAACAAAAATACAATCTTTTTGTTTTTTATGATGAGGGAATGATCTTGTTGTCACTATATCTAAGCATGTGTACTGGTCTTATGTAATGGTCCAGCCAGGTCCACAAACCACACAAGAATGGTAATTTTTTGTGACAATTATACTTCTCCCACTCAAGAAGACCACGTGAGATAGATTTGACCGAATACAATAATCATACTCCACTCACTTACTCGGTAACCACTTTCTTGACACAAAAACATTATATATATATATATATATATATATATATATATATATATATATATATATATATATATATATATATATTGGTGATGAGGGAAACCACAACCACTATCCAAGAGTGTGCATGTGATAAACTCTATTCACATGCGATAATCGGCAAACTACATTAGAAAGAACCTATACAAGAGAAAAAGTGTTGGCAATAATTGTAATTCACTCTCAATTCTCAAGAATTTTATTCATGTCTATCAAATAATTCTACCAAATTATAAAATTTTCCCCCTAATTTCTTCCTTCCTTCCTTCCAATTAAACCCTAATTAATAGAGGACCAAACTTTTGACTTTTCAACAACCAATTTCAATAATAGATTTCTACCAAATAAAATAACTTATAATTCATCATGCGATGCAGGTGATATATAATACCAAATAAAAAAAAAACCATTAATAAAAATTCTAATACATAGTGGTATAGAGTACATAAACAAATAATATGACTTGGATAACTCAAATAGTCAATCAATCACGTTTAGTCTTGTTCCAGCAGAACTATATTAATGTTTTATTATGTTATATATCACATTTTACACGACGTAATATTAAAAATATATCTATATTGCATAACCTTAGATAATAACTGTGAATTTTCTCGCTACGCAAAAAAAAAAAAAAAAAAAAAACCAAACAAAACATAAAACACCTACAAGCAATGTTGCAGAAGGCGCTAGGCGTTAGTTGGGCGCCCAGGGGTCTAATGCCTAGGCGGCCGAGTAATCCGTGTATATTGTCTCCATTTTTCCTACTTAGAGCTAAGAATTGTTAGACTGTTATAATCTCTCAAACTAGTTAACTGCATATGTTAGATGGTTAGTTGAGTACATGATTGGAGAAATATATAGAAAAGGAGTAGCCGAGCAGACAAAAAATATCACTCAGCCGAATTGACCGCCAACTCGACCGAGTTGGACACCGACTCGGTCGAGTTAAGTACTCAACTCGGTCGAAGCGGCGCTTAGTTGGCCAATTAGTCATTCAGCCAACTAAAAATTATCTAGAACTAAAATTATAATACATAGTGGTATAGAGTACATAAACAAATAATATGACTCGTCAGAATAACTCAAGGAGTCGATCAATCACGTTTAATCGAGCAGAACCATATTAAATGTACAACTTGAATATTAAAAATATATCTATATTACATCATCTTAAATAATAATTGTGAATTTTTTGGTCATCCAAAAAAACATAAAATAATATACACCTACAAGGAGAGGTAAGCATTTAGATTTTGGACACCTCACAACCTTCAATATTAAAACAAAGAAAAGAAAGAATCATTCCTGGGCACAACAGCACGTCGAGATAAAAAATTAAAAACTGTGGGGTGCTTGCACGTCATCACAAACCAACAAACAAACAAACATTTCTTTGCTTCTTTATATTCCTTCCACGGGCGTGCATTTTGCTCCAAATGGCCAAATCTCTGCACCCCTCCGCTTAGATAGGATTGGGAACAGTGGAATCTTTCAATTCTATTGTTATTACCGTTCAACCCGGAAAAAAAATTGTCTTGATATTCTGTAATTTCTGCCCCGGAGCATCATCGATTTGTGTTGAGAGACATCGGGGGATTATTCATTCGTCGTTGGCTGTGGGTCTGGTTTAAATGGGAAATGTAACGTCAAACGTTGCTGCAAAGCTTGCATTTTTCCCACCAGACCCACCAACGTACGATGTTTTCAGGGACGAGGATGGGGCGCAGTGTTTCACCGGCCTCAGGGCAGACAGTAACGTGGACGTGCATTTGCTGGACACCAAGGTTGGGAACAAGATTGTGGCTGGTTTCTGGAGACACCCTTTTGCGAGGTTAACGTTGTTGTATTCCCATGGCAATGCTGCGGATTTGGGGCAGATGCAGGACCTCTTTGTTGAGCTCAGAGCTCATCTCCGGATCAATATCATGAGGTATTTTTATTTTTTTTTCAAAATTTTATTTCTTTTACAAGAATTATCTTTATAATAGTGGATGTATTTCTATAGCTTTGTTAGTTTATATGTGGGTGTGCCTGGCTGAATTTATTTACCTCCTTGAAGGTGCACTAAACATTTTGAAATTGGGTGTTTAAAGTTTTGATTTTTGCCCTTCTCTTGTTGCTTGCTTATGTTTTATGTCTGTGGTTGTGCCTGGGTGATCTTGTTTTGGATGTGTTTCTATAGCTTTGTTAGTCTATAAGATCGAGCCTTGTTTGTAGGAGCAATTACACCCAATGTGATGAGTTCCTTGTTTCCTACCTAATAGGTTGTTGATTCACAACGATTTATCCCTCCACTATCCTGCCAAATTGGGATGTGGGGAGTGAGGAATTTCGCCTTTTTTGGGCAAGGAATAGGGGATACGGGTCGGCCATGTTTGGTTTCTTAGCGGTAGATTGTGCGCAAGAAAACAAGATTGGGCGTATCCCTACACTATCCTGGCAAATCGGGATGTAGGGACTGGGGAGTGAGGATTTTTGCCTTTTTTGGGCAAAGGAATAGATGATAGGGGTCGTGCCGTATTGGGATTGTTGAGATAAAATACCTTTTTAAGGGCTGTTTTTGTATTTGATGGTGTTGAAAATGGATGCTTGAAAGTTTTGATCTTTGAGTACTTTTTTGGTTTTTGGTGGATGGGTTTCATTGTATTTATGATTTCTTGCACAAGATCGAGCCTTGTTAGTAGGAGCAGTTACACCCAATGTGATGGGTTCCTTGTTTCCTACCTAATAGGTTGTTGATTTACAGTGATTTATCCCTTCATTATCCTGTCAAATCAGGATATGGGGAGTGAGGAATTTCGCCTTTTTGGGCAAGGAATAGGGGATACGGGTCGTGCCGTGTTGGGATTGTTGAGATAAATACCTTTTTATGGGCTGTTTTTGTATTTGATGGTATTGAAAATGGATGCTTGAAAGTTTTGATCTTTGAGTACTTTTTGGGTTTTTGGTGGATGGATTTCATTGTATTTATGATTTCTTGCTAATTTATGTTATTCCTATTGTAATTTAAAAAAAAAAAATCAATTTTGTTCTATTGATACAAAGAATTGGATATGGGTATTTTTGGGTGCAACTTCATTCTTAGTTCTGTGGATTGTTTGTATTTGAACAAAATTGAAATCTGAGTTCTTATTTTTTGTCTTTCAACTTCTAATTGATGAATGATAATTTTATACTCCAGAAATAATGATTGATGAACAGTTTAGATTGCTGTATTTGAACATAATTGAAATCCGAGAGTCTATGAAAGAGTTTTTGAGCAATATTTCTTGGTAATTCTCTGTGTTTTGATAAATTTTTGCCAAAAGAATTGAGGGAACTTAGTAGCCTAATGGAGCTTCATCGACTTTTGACAATTTGTCATTCCCTTAAAGTTGCTTTCATGGCTACTTTTATAGCTAATATGATATTGACATTAGCCCTTTTATCGTCAAATACCTTTTTCACTGATGGTATAATGTTACTGCGTTTCAGCTATGACTATTCGGGATATGGTGCATCTTCCGGGAAGGTAAGGAATATATAAAAACGTGTTCGATAGATACTTTTACTTTACTTGCCTTATGTGGCTGAGAATTGTCTTTTCTCTCGCTTTTAATAGCCCACCGAGTTCAACACATACCATGACATAGAAGCGGTCTACGACTGTTTGAAGAGCAAGTATGGAATTAAACAGGAGGATGTGATTTTATATGGCCAATCTGTCGGCAGTGGGCCAACGTTACACTTGGCCTCTCGTTTAAAGAGGTTGAGAGGCGTTGTTCTCCATAGTGCTATACTTTCCGGGATACGAGTTCTATATCCAGTCAAGATGACGCTCTGGTTTGACATTTTCAAAGTAAGTTCATCTTTTCGCCTTGATATCTGATTGAGTTTTGATGGCTAGATTGGTTTTGTCGTGACGGGACTATTGTTCTTTTCAGAATATAGACAAAATACGAGAAGTCAACTGCCCGGTTTTAGTTATCCATGTAAGTAACATCCTTTTCCTCAATTCTGTGTTTAAGGTGGTTATGTACACCATTATAAGTTTCCTTCTTAGCTAGTGTGCGGTAGTCCATGGTGCACGAAAGGCTTCTTTTTGTTTTCGTTTGTATTTGGTTTAAGCGAATCAAAACTTATCGTGTTGAGCATATAACCATTAATGTGCAATCCAACTATCAGTTAAGAGCCATGCTCCAATTTGGTATCAGAGCCATGCCAAAAGTGAAGCTATCAGTTGAGATGGAGCACATGCTTCAATTTATCGAGCTTGTAAATTTAGATGTTTCTGACAAGAGCCACTTGCAGGGAACGGAAGATGAGATTGTCGACTTCTCCCATGGGAAGCGGTTATGGGAACTTTCTGAAGACAAATATGATCCATTATGGGTCAAAGGCGGAGGACATTGTAACTTAGAGACTTTTCCCGAGTATATTAAGCACTTGGCAAAATTTCTAAATGCGATGGAAAGACGCTCCCTTTCAAAGAGAATTAAACCTCATCTTTCTAAAGCCCCGAGTATAACAGATTCCAGACACAACAAATGTTTAATATTCTGCAAAAGATGATCGCTACGCCCTTTGCCTCGTTTAAAGGAAGCTGCACTTTCTTTTCACAGAGATCGTCACCTACAAAAAGGTACGCATGATTGTATCAATCTCGGGCCACTTATTTTACCATGAAACGTGAGTCAGTATGAGTTGGAATTAGCCGCTTGATCCCGATCCTGCTCACTTGATGATAGTTTACGTGGCAAAGAATGATGATGTACATTTTTGTAAGTATCGTGTGTTTTTGTCTTCTGAAAATGTCTCTCTACACTCGATCTAAACATAATGTAAACTAGGAAATGTTCAAGCTTGTGTAGAGATCTTGTCGTTGAGAATGGATATGCATAGCTGTCTTCTTCCCTCCATCTTTCCCCCATTTTCCTGCTCGATATAGATCTCTGCAAGACTGCGATCATTTTTTTTTCTGAATTAGACTGAAAACACATGCATTTTCGCATTATAAAATGTCGGTCCAACCCATGGATCCAAAGTGTGTTACATTTATTCCAAGAAAAAGCGTTGAATCGAGTCGTGATGAGTACATGTGACAGCAAAATCCTGGAAGCCATTTGTTTATTTCTTGAACAAATTCTTGTGATTCTTTGGCTAAACAATTCTGGGGTTTTGGATTGATGGGGATATGTATGGCTTCCTGTTGTGCACATGAAAGCTTTGTTTAAGTTCCATTATGATCTGTCATGGCTTAAAATATTATACAAACTGTACTTATATATTAAGCAATATCTTAATGCCAGCATTATTTGTGTGGTTGAGATTAAAGATGCTCCCCAGAATATATTCTATTCTTTGGTTGTCTGCAGATTTGAGAGCAAATCTATCTGTCTAGTATTGGTGCCTCTGCAGAAATGTGTATGTGTATCTGTGTTTTTCTTTGATTGGATGATTACAATTCAATTACAACTAATAAATACTCAGTTATAGTAATTAAAGTTTGGAGTATACTAATATCAATACCTCAAAATAGAAAGGACAATAGTTAGAATGGGGTGGGAGTGTTTTATCCCTATCCCTATTGAGGTGGAGAGTCGGGTGAAATTGTCAACATGGTGCACCTAATAGGCTTAGCTTATTTTAATTAATTTTGCTTAGTTTATTTTGTGTTAGCCACTGTTGGGCTTTAGTTTTTTCGTGTCTAGTTATGCTTTTATGTTTTTTTGTATTCAGGGGTATGCTCCGGTGATCTATGTATTTGGACATTTGATTTATATTTACATCCCGATTTGATGATAATTGTATGTTAGGGTGCATGATATATCAATTTGGAAATGAATTAACATTAATACTAACATTAAAACATAATAATAATAAGAGCATAAATAACATCATTTTTATTTGGATAATGAGGGAAACTCGTATTCATTATCTGAAAATGTGCATTAGGTAAAGTCTGCTTATGTGTAATAACGGATTTTATACGACAAGTTTGACTAGAATTAAACTAGTAACTTTCTAGTATTAGAATTATACTTTACACATTCGGTCATCCTTGGGTAATAACGTCATTGATGCCATAAGATCTACCACTTGACTTTGCTCCCGATAGACATGCTTGATAACAACATTTCAGTTCTTATTAGTAATTCACACTTTGCATTTCTCAATAATTTTTTCCTAGGCATGTGCATCCCTTATATCCACTCTACAGCATCTCTAGAGTCGCATTGAACAATGATTTTAAGGACGTCTTTGTTCCAAGCGCACTCTAATGTATTTAAATATTCTTAAAACGGCTAATGATGACTTGCTCGACTAAACATACCTAAGGCTTACTTTTGAGACTTATTGCTTTGAGAGAATATGTATGTGCGTGCATATGTGTGTTTGTGATGAGTATTACTTAGAGAGGACGAACAAATTACTATATATATATAATTATTACAAATTAAGGAGAAAGTGTGTGAACATGGTACAATATTCTTGGTATTTTAATTAATTAATCTTTACCATACTGAAAACTCACATAAAGGGGTTGCATATTGTTTAGTCAACAGAATATTCTATTAAAATTAAATAAAATTAAAAACTAGAATATTCTATGAAACAATATTTTTATATATCGAATTATAATAATGTCACGAAGTCCCTCTATCTCTCTCTCTTGACCAAAACAACTTGTCTATTTGGCTAAGCTACTTATTCAACCCTAGCTAGTGTTTGGAGTTTGGACGAATAATTTACATTGTGAATAAATATATCCATTGAATCAAATAATTCTTAGGTAAATTATATACAGAGTATTATATCAGGACTATGTGGTCTAATGGTACCCGGGTTGGATTTCTATTTTGAAGGTTGTGAGTTCGAGCCTCAGTGGAGGCGTTATTGGCTCTTTGTGTTTCAGTAGGTTGAGAAAGTATATGAACAGATACTACAATGTAATAGAGCTAGTAGCATTTAAAAAAAAAAATATATATACGGAGTATTATTTATAAAATTGGATCATATAACTCGGATAAACTGGAAGTTTGGGCATTACATGAGGGGATCTGGCTAGCTTGGGCCAAGGGATACCATCGAGTGGAAGTGCAGAATGACTTGAAAGGGGTGGTGAATTCGCAATCACTATTGCTTAGATTCACACATTTATATACATCAGGGTCTAAAAATTCATAAATTATATTATTCTAACTCATAAAACACATTATTTATATATATATATATATATATATATATATATATATATATATATAATTAGGTTCAAATGAGAACCTCTGTTAACATTTGAACTTGTGTATCATTGTGCACCATGATCTTGCTCGATCTTGTGGTTTATAATGATTTTGACCTGGTAAATATACATCATTACATCATTGCACTACTGCACCACTCCTGAAGTCTCGGTCGTCCACACACACACACACACACATATATATGTGTGTGTGTGTGTGTGTGTGTGTGTGTGTGTGTGTGTGTGTGTGTGTGTAATACGGATTAAATGTGAATGGTGTGCTCATGTGTAATACGGACCAAATGTGAATGGTGTGCTCATGTGCGAACGTGGGGTGAGATGAGAGTCATTGATCTTGCCAATATTAACGCCTAGGATTAACAAGGATTAAAAAAAAAAAAAAAAACGCGGTGGCAATTTGATTTTTTGCATTTAGGTCAAACTTAAGGTGCATGGTTTCCCTTCTTAAGGTGCGTGGTTTCTGTGCTATGTGCTTAAGGTGCGTCAGTTGTTGAAATTTTAAGTGCGTCGGTCTAAAGCTTTAGGTGTGTTTGGTTTTCTTTCTTAAGGTATGTGGTTTGTGTGCTTAAGGTGCGTCGGCCAAAGCTTTAGGTGCGCGGTTTCCTTTTAAGGTACGTTGTTTTCCTTCTTTAAGGTGCACCATTTTTTACAGGTTGCTTCTTTAATTGAGGACGCGTTCTTTTTTTTTTTTTTTTTTTTTTTTTTCCTACAGTCCCAAAACACAATACTATCCTTTTCTAATCATGTTTCAGCAACCAGCATAGAGATCAAAGGAAGTAAAAATGTAGGTTTTATTGCTTATGAGTGGCTGGCTATGGTAGTGTTTTCTTAAAATCGATTTTGTCAACCTTTACCTCACCATCAATCAGTTTGTAAACATACACCACAACTCGTAGGCCATCGATGTCCATGAGAACAAAACTAGAATTTCCTGGATTTATAACAACGCCTTTAAAAAAAAAATAAAAAAATTCATTGATCTGTGCTGTTGATCTAGATTTGATCAACGGTTCAGATCTAACCACATATGGGAGCATCTTCACACCAGAATCACTCCTATATATATATATATATATATATATATATATATATATATATATATATATATATATATATATATATATATCCAATACAACTGATAGAGTACAATTTTTGTCTGTTGCTATTCATACTGTCATCCACAAAGGCCACAAATTATGGCACCCATACAACTTTAGCCGACTATATAGATTTGAATCTTCTCTATAATGACATGCATACACGATGGGATAGGTTACATTATTATAACTTATAAGTTCATAAAAACATGCTCATCCCGAAAAGGTGAAGTAAAAATCTCATCATTATACTATTTTTGGCAAAATTATGATTATCCTTTTATTTTGTTTTATTTTACTTTTTGTGTGGAAGGTAAATGTTGAGGAGAGTTCTAACTGATTTTTGTGTGAATGTCTTATACATATGTTACTAGTAATTGATAGGTAATGGAGTGTAGTGGAATTAATGAAGCGGAACGGAATGATGGCAAACCACAAAAATCTTGTATTCATCACTGCTGAAAATTATGGAATTTCTGACCACCTGAAAATGATGTTAAATCAAGTCAAAAGCCTTGTTCCGACCACTTTTGGTGTTCGAAAAAACCTTAATAGCTATTTCCGATCACTTTTTACTTTAGATTTGATTTAAGATCACTTTCAGGTGGTCGGAAATTCCATAATTTCCAGTAGTGCATTTCATTTTCGGTTTGTTCTTGATCTTGTTTTCCCAGCCAGCTTAATAAATCAAAGTTTAACTGAATTTGTTAAGTGAGTGGTTAAATTATAATATTGTATACAAATTTTACATTACCAGTATACCATAATAAATGTTAAGTAAAAAGTGTGTATTAAAAAAAAAAAAAAAAAAAAAAAAAAAAAAAAGGAAATCAAAACTACTTGTAGACTCTCTCACAATTTCTTGTAACTATAAGAATTGATTTTGAAGTTCTATAAACCAAACATTTAAGGTCCTTTATTTTATTTTGATTTTTTGTAATAAAAACTTACAATCAATCCTGATGATGTGCACGGAGTAAAAACCCAACTATATATTTCAAAGTGCATACACAATTTTTTCATCAACAACGCACGTATAGTTTCCACTAGAAGAAATGAGTGTTTGATTTTAACTCTTTTTATTTAAGGTAACTTTGTATAAGAATATTTAAAAAAAAAAAACATTTGTTTTAACTCTGAATTGTCTGTCGCTATCATAATAATACTAATTATTAGGTTAACAAATTGAATGTGAGTCACTAATTAAGAGACAGCATGGAAAGAGCTTATCTGAATTGAGGATGATTAAAAGGGAATCGCCAACTATATATTGACATAAAATTTGGGTCGTCAAGTTGAATTGCACCCTACGCAAAAAAAAAAATATAATAATAATAATAATAATAATAATAAATAAATTAATTAATTAAAAATAAATTGATTTTAGCAATATTTATTCATTTTGCATTTTTTATTTTATCTATTTTTCTACCATTTTTATTGCATTTGAAAGCTAAGCGTGGAGAATGGCATTTAAAATTCGATGCTAATAAATTTAAAGGATTGTAAAAAGGTGATGCGTACAAGTAACATTTTTATATACTTATTTC